TGTCTCATGCTAATGAAATATCCGAAAATAAATTACAAATTAAATACAAAATTATAATTACAAATAAAACCTTTTCTAGATTTTTATTACGATTTAAACAAAAATTAAATTGTTATTTTTGTTTCACGTTAAAATCACATGCTAATGTAATAGCTATTTGCAATGACAATTTCGTGAAGTTATGAATAAAGCTATTAAAATGAAGCAGTTGAAATAGATTGATGCTAGGTGTGTAATAATTTTTTCAGATCTGTTGTAGTCAGGTGGTAAAAGTTGTAGTTAGCAAAAGTCACGACGTAATGGCTATGGTAATTAGTAGAGATTAAACACGCGATTGATAAACTCGGTTCGACGCCAACCTGTATATACCTCGTCGGTGAATAGTCTTTGATTATCTTTCGAGGACATGATGATTTATCTAAGTCTATTAGACAAGCGGCTAACTATATCGATTCTTACCTTGTCCTCTGCCGGCTTGAATAGCATTTTTTCATCCGTAGGTACAAGGTAACCGCTGCACGTACTTCAACCGAAGTAGGTGATCTACTTTAAAAATCGAAGTATATAATCTACTTCCAGCGCGGAATTATATAAAATTATGAATTATTCTCCTTTGTCGAATACTTTGTCCTCTCGACTGTGTTACAATAACGACTGCTCTTGTTTCCAAACTTTGCCGAAGTGTTGATTGGAGAATTTTTTATTATTATAATAATTTGCAAAGTTTCATCGTGTTCGCGGTTTTCTTGATAATCCAACAGGGAACTTGATAGAAACGAACTTATTGAAACGTTCAAATGCTTTCTACGTGCCATCCATGATTCTATTATCGAGGAAATAATTAAGAGATATTTATAAAAGTCTCGCTACCGTAGATATATGACCGATCACGTTTTGATGTAAATTAGAGCATCTATCTACATGCTACTTACGAATATGACAAATGATTTCGACGTCTACGCTTCGTCGAACATCTTAAATGTATTTTCTACGCATGCCACACAGCCCACGTATACCATGGTCTCTTTCGTCATCGTCTATATATCAATTTAGCTCCGAGTATCTCCACGTTTAAAACCTATTATTGTTGAAAATATGGGCATGTTTAATGTATAATCAAACTCGTCCATTAAGTCATTCGAGCAATGCTTATATAAATTATGCCCGTATACTTTGTACACGTCTTGAGAATACAGACGAAGAAACTATTTTATCATTTTACAAACGTCTTGACTCTTGTACGCGCGTTACTTTTTTCCTCATGAAGTCAAAGAATTATATATCATAGAATTACCTTTCATCCATTATACCAATGAGCAACATTCACGTAATACGCGTTTAACGTTAAACCGTTTGAAAGATTACTTCGCCTGATTCGAAAAAGTTGCCCCGGGCATCATTTCTATTTCTGTAATAATCGTGTAGAGCTGTAATTTTTAAACTCACGGTTACGATAACATTTATTTTATCATCTGATTAATAGCATTAAATGAAAAGAAGGAACAACAAACATCTTTCACATTTGATTAGCTAATCGATTTAGTTGGCTAATTGTTGTCTTAAATTTCTAATAATTTTGTTATTTGGTACAAGTCGTTGTCGTAAGTCTATTAGGTCGAATATAAAGAATGTTATTAAATTTTACAGATAAATTTTTATATATTTGAGATATATACGATGAAAAGTCAAATCTTTTAATACTAATTTGTTCATGTCAGTTATTATATTTGAAACTTTTCAAAATTATTATTGAATACGTACCAAAACATTACATATTTTTATACGTATATTCTTATGGATATTATATAATATTTAGTGTATTTTTCTACTATTTTTCACGTTTATAGCATAAGCGTTTGAACACAGTTTTTCAGAATCTCTCATCGTTCGATAACGTATTGGCTGGCAGCAATCAGTTGAGTAAAAACAGCTGCGTACGGAGCGAAGCCGCGAAGAAGAAAAATAGAGATAAGAGCAGAGAAAAAAATAAAATCCGTTAAATTTACGTCGTCAATAAAAAAGAAAATAAACGTAGCATCCTGCGCGTTCACCCAAGGCGATCATCTTCGAGATTCAGAGCCCTCCTGCGCATTCGTGGAAACGGGAAGATTACTTATTTATGATTTCCCCGCTCGGTAAAGGAAGACTAGACCCAGGGCGTATGCTTGCGTACGTTTGATGTTGCCTCCAATCGCGTAGTTAACGAGAGTAACCGTTGATGGATTCGTTTTCCACGTAGAAGGATTATTTATTAACTCTACAACTTCTTCTCTAACGATCCCTACCGGGAACGACGTGGGCGTTTAGAATTCATCATCACTGTGGATACATGTCACGACTCGAGTATCTGTGTAAGCAACACGGAGTAAGAAACGCTGATGGTATCGATCATGATGCGCGACGGAGCAGTTAAATATGCATCAAAATGAGGAGAGCACACGTTACTCATAATAATGATCATACAACGAGTATGAAATTGTGTGTCGATAAATTCGTTTACGTTCTTTCGCGAAAAATAGACATTACGTTGATTCAACGAACGCAGTTCATCGATCGACGCCGGGAAAACATTCAGAATTATCTTTACGAGGCAATCGCGTATTCCAGCGAGTGACGGCATTGCGAACTTTAATGCGGCAGTACCACGGTTATCCGCGCTACGGGCAATTTCCGCCATGGGTCTACCAATTAGTCTGGTAATAATTTGCCCGTCAGTGGCTTTCGTGATGCCGTATCGGTAGCTTCATCCGCGATGCAAATTTTTAGCGCCAACAATATAACGCACGTTCTAGTTATTTGGAACCGCATGTTTCATTCTGTTTCGAGGCAGCCGGAGGCATTGACACACCGACAATCGTCGTCTTGTATTTTCTTTAAGTGCTGGCAGAGAGCACAATAAACTGTACTATGATGACTTATAGCATCGAGGATGTCATCCACGCTAATACACTTGCGTTCGTGCCCTCCTCATCGTTGGTTACGACGACAAAGAAGAAACGACCTGCCCTCGGTATCTTCCATTTTCTACCGCCTTGTCCGCCCTTTGCCTCTCATCCCCTCGAACTCGCGGAAAATGTATGATACGCCCACTCGTAGAGTTAAACCGCTATTTTTCTTGTGATAAATGAAATTGTTTCGCGTGCGACGCTTGTCACGCCTCCGGACGTTCCAGAAGTTTGCCCGGAGCTTCCTCGAGTTTCCTTCCGGACCGCTTCGAAACTTCTTGTTCCCGCGCTTTACGATCCGTTGAATCGTTTCCCGTAACGAGAAGACGTCATAATTCTGTAATAAGTAAAAAACGCAATCGCATACGACTTATAAATGTCACTTTGTTACATGCATACATTAGGTCATGTTACGTTAAACACGTTGATACTGATAATCGAGAGATGAGAGATAGTGTAATAATAATTTAAATTAGTCTCTCTCTCTCTCTCTCTCTCTCTCTGTACAAACACGGAAAGAAAATTTTATTGAAAAACCTGAAACTTTGCTGAATACAGATTTGAAAATAATTTTGTTGGAAATTCAAACTGGTTCCTAGAATATCAAAATTTTTTGCTACATTACTTATCATTTTTTAGTTTTCAACATAATTATTTTGATGGTCCAACAAAATTATTTTCAGATTTATATTCAGCAAAGTTTCAGGTTTTTCAATAAAATTGTTCTTTTCGTGTATTATTTATAATGTTGAAATATGAAATAAATAAAAGTTAAGAAGGAATTAGAAAAAATTAGAAGACATTCTTATTTAATATTTATTTAACGAGGCCATAAATAACGTATATATATATATATATATACGTGTTAATATATTAATATTAACAACGGGATTAAGATTTGACATTACTATTTGCTAATATACGCAATAGTAGGTACTTTACGATACTACAAGTTAGAATAAACGCAAGGTAGAAGGGTGACTGTGCTCGGCATATGTTTGCTTATCGCGTTTCTCATATCGACCCACTGAAAGTCAGCTAGTATTCTAATTTCAGATTCAGAGTATTCAGCACGATTGCTCTGAATCCTTTAGCAAACACTTCGCACGTTCATGCAATATCTTTGCGGATTTAGAAGTGAAGACACAGGCCTGCGCGCGCGCACACCTTCAACATGTCACCACCGGACATTCCCTCATCCTCTTTCCCCCCATGGAAGTGTCGGCGCTTTATAGTCCAAGACCGAAATCCGTGGACTTTGAGATTGGCCGACCCTGTTGCGATCAGACGTCGAGCGACGAAATACTAGTATGGTGATCGATGAGATCCCTGGGAACGATCGCTCCTGAGGCACGATGCTTCTTCTCGAGAAGCGATCGAAAAGTCCGATGAGACGTCAGGGAACTCGCGAAAAAATAGCTTCAGCGTCATCGTCAGGGGAGAGAGAAAGAGAGGAAAGGGAAAATAGGGAGGGAGCCAACTCATTAAAACGCGATGTCTCCATCTACATGTAAATCTAATCGAGCAGACAAAACCACGGCGACATCAAACCACCGTTAACCACTGTCTATCCTATCATGGACGAGAATAGTAGGACTTAAGCTCGGGTACGAGCTCCCCTTTAACCGTCAGGGTGTACATCACCACTAAATTCTCGTGTAATAAGACCTAATCCTGGTGTTTTCTTGTCTATGAAAACTGCATTATACCAGCGTTTACTTACCGTAAAAATATTTCGTGTTATACATTATAGATACCTTGTTAAAAACTTAAAGATCGATTACAGTTAGCGTTCTTGTGAATAAAGCCGCTACTCTTTAATGAGAAAAAACGAATAATCGTAGAATTTATATCATTTTGTTGATATATTGAATACACAATTTCTGACTAATTTGCGTAGGTTTAACTGATAAATTTACACTTTTAATTATGGTGATAAGTAATTTATATCGATCAAATTAGAATGACATATATATTTGAAGCAATTAAAAAAGATTACACTTATATTTAAAAAAAAACGTAAATTTATTTCAAATTTATCTTTTCTTGTTGCAGTACCGATTATTGCCATTGACGGTGTAATCGGAAACAAGGTGCAGCTCCCTTGTGACATTCGTTCCACTAATAACGATGAAATCAGCATGGTGCTTTGGTACAAAGAAGGCAAAGACGAACCGATTTACAGGTAAGATTTCGGACATTTCTCGTGAATTAAAAACTGATTATTTAAAAACTTCGAAATCCTTAAATTATTATATTTTGTGTTACAAAAAAATTGTTTTCGTACAAAGAGTCTTTTAATCTTCACTATACGATCTCATTGTGCCGGAGCGAAATGCACTGAAAAAAACTTCTCGAATGTGGGAGTCATTCATATCGTCTATAAAGCGCACTTTCTCGTAGAAATCAAAAAGAAATGAGTTCAAGTACTCAAGTCTGAAAATTCCTCGCGTTATTTTCCACAGCGAAGTTCATTCGGTACTCGGGTTGCCGTTTCGCTCCCACGGCCCGTGAAATTTTGCATATAGAATGGCGGTCGGCGCACCGCCGTGCCGCAGTCGTAGGATAGGAGTTGCCGCGGCTGAAAGGGGGCTGACGTTAGTATCCGGTGGGTCATATTTAAGAAATGTAATAAGGTGTAAGATATGTGCGTGGGGGATGGCGATGCATCGTCTCGGGGTAGAAGGGCGGCGGAAAGTGTATGCGAAGCGACGCCGGGGATGCCAACGCTGGTGTTTAGTGCGGAGGGGAGTGCAGGTCGTCGCTTGTTGGAAAGTCAGTTTAATCCTCGCGACGAAGAACTTTAAATTTAAAGGCGGCCATCGTACTAAAACCGTCTCCCCCTTGGCCAACGTACTCTTCTTCATGGGACCTCTTGCAATAAAATATTTATTGCGTGACATCGTGCCCTTTTATCGTATGTACACTAGACAGTTAAGGAAAGGAAACGGCGAGGTTACGTGGACATGATCGCGCATAGCTCCTTCTAAGTATTCCCCCTTACACATGTATTCAAAGTTTCGTTCGTGATAGGAGTAACTCATGTGACGTGCATGTCGTCAAGACTCGCATTATAACTTATTCAAGAAAAAGAAGCAATTCTTTCCTTTCTCTTTAGTTAATTTTATTGATTTAACAAAAACTTTCATAATCCTTAAAGATGATTGAATCTTTCCTATCTACATCGGTACGGAGAGACTTCATCTAGTTTTTCATTTACTTAGAAAATGGAAGGGCAGAGAGAACTTAAACGATTGACTGCATTCTTCATGATATGAATATTTGTTCGCGATCGTAGATCTAGATCTTTGAGTTTCAATATTACTGTAATATTGAACAGCGTCTTGATCGAACAAAACGCTCAGTAATATTTACAATCTCTCGAGCGGTCTTCGTATTTTACCTTAATAGATAACACTTCGCAAAATCGAATCCACTCAATTCCATTTCACGTTTTCTCTTAGGAAAGTTTCAAGACACTTAGACCCACCGAAGAGACCTGGTGAATTCCTTTCCTCGCGTGAGACTTGAAAAAGTGATCGATTCTTTAACGATTATATAATATATATATGTGAAATGCGACAAGAGATGCGTTTGCTTGCAGAGCTTTCAAATATTGCTTAAGATATCATCATAATAAGCCGTCAAAATTTATATTATTTTTATCAAAATTAATTGACGATATAATACAAGAATAGAAATAAACAAAGTTAAATTTCTACACAAAATCTACAAATGTGTCTTATCAAATTTATCTCCAAATCTCTCCAAATAACTCGTCTATTTCACTCAACATTTCAGTACGACATGCGCTACTTCGTTCACAAATAGATTTCGCGAACTATAAAAAGAGCAACACAAGTTCATCTACGCTCTGTAATCTCCCGAGATAACGAAGAAACGGCTGTAGGCGATGCCGTTCCAGAAAATGTCGACGAATCAGCCTCTCAGGTCGTGATCGACGAATCGAGTGAGTAGACAGGCAATCGATCGATCTTGAGAGTCGTTTCGCTGTCGATGAATGCTAGGGTCGAAGTCAGAGGACCGATATGGGAAAATCGCTTTTCAGGGTTATCGCGCGCGAGAAAAGTCGGTCGAACGTGTTATGTCCGCGAGTCGTTCTCGTGCTGGGCGACGGTTCGTGGAACGTGTGCTCGACCTCTCTTCGAGGTCTGCCCTCCTCCCACCACCCTGTCTACGACAACGAGGCGGGTGGGCAACATTGGTGGCGCGTCACGGAAGCGCCCTCCTCGTCCACTGGAAGTGCGAAGTGGAAGAATTAAATCGTATTTCAACGTCAATGCCGTGGAAGCAAGCGTGAGGGCGGGATAGCTTTGGGACTACTCAGTCACGAGCGAAAATCCAAACTCCCATGCAGTCGCGGAACGCAATTTAACTTTTAGTCGCTCGCGAGGAGCCATGAAGGGTTCTATGCCTGGCATTCTCCCCCTCCCCTGAGTTACCTCTCTTCTTTCTGTCTCGTACTCGTTCTCTTATATATCTCCGGACTGTTCCTCTAATCTGTCTCTCTTTGCTCCTATTCTGGCTCACCGCGAATGCTTAATATGCAATCACGCACTGAGAACGACTCCCATGCGACTCCGTATATAGACGTGTCTCTGTCCAATCACCAGTCTCGGATCGTAGTTCCGCGAATGATTCTTCAGCGAAGCTGCCGTGCATTGGAAGGGCCACGTGCAGGCGTGAGCCTCGACATGGAGCACGAAAGACGAGAATAACGTTTCGAATTTAATCTTTTTTAGTCTACTAGCCAGATTTGTTAATTTTCCCGTCTGTTTCTGAAGCTTTTTGTTCATGTAATGAGACAAAAAATGATGTAGCAATTTTATATTAGATTTTATATCATAAGTATTTAATATAAGGTATTATAAAATTACAATAATGTAAATTGTGCTGATCATAATTTTAAAAATATTCCATTTAAAGATAATTCGAGATATTTAATAGAATCAAAGATATCAAATTTTGTAATTGACGAGAAATCTTGAAGCGAATATTGTATGTTCGATCACAAGTATCCAGAATACACGTTCATTATTTACCATGTAATTAATTCAATCACGACAAGCTTTTAATAACGACGCCAGTATGCTATCTCAATTGATATGCTGCAATTACATCGCAAATTATGTAATTAAATTGGTACAGTTTTTGATACATGAATAACAAGCAAAACGGTAATTACCAACGATAAACTGACTCTTATTACGACGCGTATTCGATCGTTCTAGTATTCTGTGCCTATTAGCGAAAAACGCTGAAACTTCATATAATATGAAGCATCGATAATTAATATAGCGTGTATCGGTAATACACTCATAATGCGCTCGTATCTCATAATTGCAAAATGATGGAATTGTTATGGCTGAGTTACTACAAAAGCTAATCGATTATTTTAGCTTCGATGTTCGCGGCCGCCGGCAATACAGCAACGCCCGTCTTTGGTCGTCGCCCTCGGCATTGGGACCAAGAGCTTTTTTTGTTACGGCGACGAATCCAGCTCACCTCAGCATTGATCGGCTGGAGAGCACTGATGAGGGGATCTACCGGTGTCGGGTGGACTTCAGAAACTCGCCGACACGGAAACAAAGGATGAACTTAACCGTTATAGGTGAGAGCATTGTATCCTAGTGAAACTCAATCAACTAGTGATCACGCAACAATTAAAGTCAGTCCTTTTGATCAAGGCGTGGTAATGGAGGTCGCGTCAAGTATCGAAGCAAGAAGCGATCTCGAGACCGCTTATACGCGATGTATAATTTAACGTTGAATACAGTCATTCCATTCGTCACACGATACGTAGAGTTTGCGCGCATTTGATTTAGATATACATTTATGCTCGATACATTTCGTCGTAAGCGTTGACTTACGAACTCACCACTTCCCGGCGTATAAATTAATCTCAGTGTAAGCCGCAGTTTGCCTCGCAAACTAGGAGCTGCCGCGGTAATATACTTCGTAACTACGACCTGTTTTGCGGTCATTATAACAGTTAATTCTGCTACAACGCTAAAGTTCTGTCGGATTCCACCGTATTCGACCGCGTATGCATCTCTCGCGTTGACTGTCATTTTGCTAGATGAACGATCGATTAGTATTCACGTTGAATTTTAACGACGCATGCTGTTCGCACAGTGCCTCCATCGAAGCCAGTAATATTGGATGGGGCGACGAAGGCTATTTGGGGCCTCGAGGAGCAGTACAACGAGGGGAGCGATGTGAACTTGATTTGCGAGGTTCGTGGTGGCAAGCCGCCCCCAAAGCTGACGTGGTATCTCGACAATACCGTGATAGACGAGTCCTATCACTACGATACCCAGGGCGGGTTAACGGTTAACCACTTGGCGTATCCGAAAATTGGGCGACAACACCTCCAGGCGAGGCTGATATGTCAGGCCAGCAATACGAACTTGGTGCCACCACAAACCAGATTACTCGTCCTCGAAATGAATCGTAAGTCATTTGACGATTCTGTTCTATTCATAATTATTTGTGCTATTTAGCGAAATTGTATTGTGACTGTGTTGCTTATTCGTTTTATTTTTCATTTTCTCGAGTTCGTGAACCAATTACGCATGACATTAAATTTACACGTGTTGTCGTAACAGTGTAATTCTAATTTGTAATGTTATGACGTGCGACATTTGCTTTTCATAGTGACATCTACTAAATGACTTAATGAACGCGCCGCATAAAAATATCCATTCAACGTAATTTAGATCCAGCTTTTCCATCGAGTAATAGACTATAAGCGGAGATTAGCGCTGAGTCAGCGATGTCGATCATTTCGTGCAAAAAAAAAACGGAGGCCCCTCCTGGTGATGTTTAAAACGAAACTCCGATTACCTTAATGTACGTCCATACTGTGAATGACGGTCGAGAAATGTTCTACTTACGCGACCTACTTTGTCAATCTTTATAATGTTGCATGCAATGCGGTTTCTTAAACATGTTTTTACGGGAATCGCAATCTATCAAAGGGACGCCATAGCCAATCCAATTTGCCCTAAGAGAAAAAATTATCTCAAAATAAAAAAAAGTTATACATAAAACTTGTTAGCATTATTACTAAGCACTTACAGACTAATATGATATGGCTGATACTCGGAATGACGTATCGTCAAAGTAAGAACCAGTTTATATGTGTATCATTATAAAGCTCGTTTTTACGTTACGTTTTACTTTCGATAATAACTTCGCAGCGGAATATAACAAATTATTGTTTACATTTTCTAATATTTTACTGTACGTATATAGCGCAGCCGTTAAACGTAAACGTGCCCAGTGGACGTAAAGTGCTGCACATACGTAGTTCCATGTAATCATTAATGTAAGTACGCAATTATCGCGTGCATAACGAGCTACGAGAGTTCTCCATTTGCACGTTGAGGTAGACATGAAATTACCGACAAGTTGACGCGCGTATTTTGCGAGAGAAAAAACATTTGACCACGTTCCGTGTATTTTCCTATCTAGGGATATCTTCCTGAATGTCATTCGTTTCTTTTTACGAAGCGACAAGTGTCTACCTTCGTAATGAAGTTGCTGACCCTTAACGCGTTAATATGATGCTAGTTGCAAATGTAAGCGTGTAGATTATAACTCATTCTGACAGCTCTCGTTTGTCGCGTACGAAATCTCTTCTCTGCCAGCTTGCGACCTGAAAGATCATATAGTAGCATATCAAACGATGTATTAATTGACAGAATCTGACATTAAGGAAACAAATTCATGAGAATAATTTATCAGTGGAGACCGATGTAAATCGGCGTTTTCCTTGGCTTTCGTATTCACATGATTTTAGGCAATTTCCGTATCGCACACCGTTGGCGAATTGCCTCGACGGTCACAGAGAATACATGTATCTACCGAAGGCCTTTTCACGTGGTCCTATAGCCGGGCCAAGGTATTCACGTGCTGAACCTATTAGTCGTTCGGACGAGATTGGCCGATGGAGATAACGGTAACGCCTCTCGCAAGACGGATCAGTGAATTGCGTGCCTCCTAGTCCGCAGCTTCGATTTCGTGTTTCCTCGTGAGCACTTGGCGTGCGACAGCACGTCTGTGTTCGGGCGAGCGTTGCGTTGTGTCGGCGTCGGTCGATAAACGTGACGGAGAACGACCGCGCCGTGCACGCGTGTGTGCGTGCACGTCTGTGGGCGCGTTAATTACGCCGTATGGGTGTTCGCGCGTGGGTGGGTGCGTATGTACGGCGAGGTAAGAAGGTACTCGCGCGGCGCGCTAAGATATCGTGTAAGTGGCGGCTGGAGAGGGTTCGACTTGTAATGACCTAGTAACGTCGTGCCAGACAGGAGAAAATGGAGGACCGCGAAAGGGTGGGAAGAAACTATTCGAACCGGCGGCGATAACGTTAATGTAAACACGCGTAAAAGCATTAGTGCTTGACGGAGCTGCAAGAGGCGCTAATTCGTGGGCCGATTGATCTCGCCGATCGCACGTTGCATGCGCCTACACTTCTGGCAATCTCACGTCGTATACGTTAAAGGAGACGCGCGGATTAGTTGGGCGATTCGCGATACATGTTGCAACGCACGTTAACTTTATTTAATGCATGGTTAATAATAGTATAAAGAAAAATTGTACAAAATCGAAACACTGCTTTCCCTCGTTCTATACGTGTACTAATTTTATTAGAAATTCTATGCTGACCAATATATCGTTGCAGTGATAAACTACATTTTGCGTTTCACTGAACGCGAAGATATGACTTTCAAAAATATGACTTTTGTAAAAGTCTGTGTATGTTCGTTTTTAACATGATCCTAATTTCTTCCTGTGTTTCTAACAAATATAATAGTTTCTTATTTCAAGCCATCATTCTTTTTTATTTCAAATACGTCATTTTCCGGTTTGCATATAAGAAATAGATGTTGTATATTTGTGTATATAAATTTATTTATTATGATTCTTCAAGTCACAAACTGATGTTGGCAATTGCTTTTGTTTCAAGGAATTGTATGCGATAGTTATGCAGATAGTTCACACGAACAACTAATCCTATATCAAACATAAATAATCAGACAGTATATGTAACTAGTCGCGGGCATACTCTTGTATGAATAATTTCATACATTCCCACGGGTGATGCCTATTAATTCGCACATTGCGATGCATGCTGAATCCGCTCGATAGAACAAATAATAATAAGCATGCGTGTCCACGTTCCCGCCTGTTCGAACGCGTATCAATGCATTCTTAATTGCCGCCACATAAATCATCTTGAAATTTTAATGAGCTATTAAACGCCTTTGAACAATAAATTATCCCTTTCATCAAGATTTAACTTCTCGCTCTCGAAGTTTATCTCGATTGAGTGAGATTGATGGAACGAGATTCCGTTTCTCATTCCAAAGACTGAAGATGTAAGTTTATAATAACTTTTTTAATTTAAAGAAATTTTGAAATCTTATTACGTAACAAAAGATAAATTACAGATTAAAGCTTTTATAATGTCGTGATATTTTATAGCAGTAGTCCTATTCTGATATGCTCTGCCAATATTGAAAATGTATAGTTTACGTTGTGTTGTGGGTGTTGTGTGTTGTGTTGTGTTGTATACAGATTTTTTAGTACTGACAATTTATATCGGAATACGACTATAATTGCGCTAATTGTTTCATAATAAGATTCGATCGGCGAGAATGTGAAAAATAAGTCAGTGGACACGAAACGCGTGCGAGGCTGACGTGACGAAAGCTTTCGGATTGTCTGTGACGTAGCATGCAAATGCGCTTTGTTCATAAATTTTTTGCAACGGTGACACAAACAGTGGGTGCGTTTTCTACGCAGCGCTTGGTCGCAATTTGTGCCGACATTAAGAATTAAAGTTGGTATCAATGTGATAAACGGCTCGCTAGACTTGCCAATTGCAATTGCACTAATTCGTATCCGGTCGTGCGTGCATCAATGCACGCACACAAACACTAGTACGCACCTTTGCGCGCGCAACATTCATTCGTGCACGGTTATGCGTTTCGGAAATTGTTCGCCTGATAATAATTAATAATCCCGTCCCTCCAGCTGGGCTACGTTTCCACGACGCGCGGGACATCATCGTTATTCATCAGGGAGTTATCTCGACCTCGTTCCCCGATAAGACCGAAAGATTTCTTCTACTCGACGTGGGCCATGCGCTTTTCTTCTACTCGCCGTCAATGGTTTCTCGGGGGGCATTGATTTCGGTCGAGAGTCGCGCCGCGACGGAGCAGGTGGTCGTTCAACCGTTTGGAAATAAATGGGAAGGTGCGAAGAGCGCTGGGTTTGATAAGTACGCCTGCCGGGGGCGTCGACTCGTAGAGAATTATTCGAACAAACGATAACGCCACGGTAAACACGCGTGAAACCATTAAGGCTCGGCCCGCAGCAAATAATTCACGGACGTTTGTTCGCCGGTATTCGTAAATGGCATCGCGCCGCTGCAACACCTCAATAATACGCGCGTAAAACTTGATGAATGCGCATTACGGTTAATGATAAAACCGAGGACTCTACTTAGGTGCAAAGAAAGAACGATTACGTGTACTTTGTCGTATTGACGTTGTGAGGTTGATTAACCTGCTGAATCGAATGCGACGTTTTATTAAACGTAAGAATATATACGATCTTGAAGGTTTCTTTTACGTCTTCAGGATCAGCTTTTATTGAACGTATTCCTTTATCTTGAATTTTCAAGCTAAGTTTTGATCATAATGGACAATTCTGAGCTAAGTTAACAGGCCGCTTCAGAAAAACACTGAAGCCAAGCGTGCGAACACGATATCTAACACGACTGATGGAGTGGAGCAATTTGTCAAAGCTGTCGGCGATTGCTAAATTACAAATGACAATAGAACCACAATGTCGAAGGGTTGATTCCATGGATATCGTAGCAGGGATCAACCATCGCTTCTCGTCCAAGCAATTGTACACCGGCTTTGCGTGCTTTTGTTCTAATTGAACGTCGAAAATAGATACAATCCTTTCTCCTCGTTCCTCGGGCACCATGAGGCGCGATCACGATCGACATACACGCGATGCCCGGCGCATCGAGTGATACTCCCGTCAATACAATCCGTGCTGCCCCTATCAGACCCTCATACGTATTTCAAATCTACCTTGCGCAAAACTAAGCTATTCTCGAACGTGATCGCGCTGTCGACATGTTTTAATTAAAATCTAATCTCTTGCGAAACGTCTACTTAAAATAGATTGCACCGATTCTTCATTGTGTGCGCAAACAAAGCGATTTCCGCACTAGATCGTATTATTGCTCGCAGTATTAAGCTGATCAAATGAACTCTTGAGCATCGGATGAGTCGACGCGGAAGTTGATTATACGAATGAACGAAAGTTTCTATAAGTGCAAATATATGGTCTGACTATCGTGAGGGTCATCATATCTATTCGTAGCAGGGATAAGTGCGTATGTCAGGACGAGGGCACAGAGCGAAACG